AAAAGTATTGCCTCCCCTGCTGTCCTCTCAGGCTGTACTAAGACACGTTTGTGGCACGTCATGATTAGATTTCTCATGGGGAGTTCATTCATGTACCTAACAACATTCTAGTTCTTTTGATGTCCTCTTAGCAGCCTTTTCCTCACCCTTCCCCTAACCCCCTTTTCTGCCCTCTAGCTTCTCTGTATCTCTGCAGTTTATTATATATAAAGTGGTTACTTAAACTGTCAAAAGCCACATTCAGACTTAATAAAGACAGGCTTTGTGTGGAAGTATTGTAAGACAAGGAAAAGAACTGTTGCATAAAGAGAAAGCTTCTACCACTCTCACTTAAGATCTGAAATCATCTCAGAGGTTAGGCAGAAAAATGCCTTCTTTTCTTTAATAGGGCAGAATGAACATTCTAGGAGGAACTTGGTGAGGAAGTGGGATACATGGGCTGAGAGTGGAAGTGGCTGGGATCTGGAGGTAGACAGAGCACAATTTGTCCTGTGGCCAGCATGTTCTTGGAGGAGTTCATACTGAGGGTGGGTTACAGTTCAGAAATCCAGGGGAGGAGGAAAGCTCACAAAAGCTGGTTAACAGGTGGTGTGCTAGTCAGCTTTCCATTACTGTGATAAATACCTGAGACTTATACAGAGCAAAGTTTATTTTGGTTCACAGTTTTAGATGTTTTTAGTCTATGACTGGTGGGGTCCCCGGCAAGGCAGCACATCATGGCAGAAGTGTGTAGCAGAGCAAAGCTGTTACCTCGTGGCCAGGGCACAAAAAGACAAAAAAGAGAAGAGATACAGGTCCCACAGTCCCCTTCAAGGCTTTCCCTTAAAGACTAAGTCTCACCTCTTAAAGTTTCTAACTTCTCTTCATAGTGTCAACCCAAAACTTAAACTTTTAACATATTACCCTTGGAGTATATCTAAGAGCCAAACTATAGTGGAGTGGGGTTTCATTAATAAGTCTTGAGGCAAAGAGTGGGAATTTTGAGGGTCTTTGTATGGCCTTGTCACAGGTAAACAAGGTGACTGTGTCTTGCCTAGGTCATATGGAGATGGGTATTTCTTTTCAGTAATCATTTCCTGAAACATAGAAAGCTGGGTGGGTGGGTAAGAGTGAAGGACTGTTTCATTATTTGTTTTTCAGGGCCATAAGGCTCAGATAAAATTCAACCATGAAGCTGAGTCCGCTTTCTCTTCTATAATCCATGGATACCTGTAGGTTGTCTCAGTTATTTTTCTCATTGCCGAGAGAAAATACCTGATGTCCAAGGTTAAGGAAGGAAATGATCATTTTAGCTAGTAGTTGGTAGAAGTTTCAGTCTATAGTCGGCTGGCTCCAAGGCAGGGTGGCATGGCAGGAAGGCATGGCAGGGTGGCATGGCAGGGGGTATGGCAAAATAAAAACAGTCCATCTCAAGGTGGACAGGAGGCAGGAGCAGCAAGGCTCCCTTTCCCTTTAGGTGCTATCCAGGTCATGAGCCTATTGCTTGTGACACATCCGAAATTATGATAAACCCCAATCAGTGGATTAATTTAATTGCCACACAACCTTAATCTATAGTCATATACCTTACATCCAGCCACCTCTGAAAGGCCTCACCTACGAGTATATGAGAGTTTGTGAGGGACATCTAGATACAAGTCCTACCAGTAGGTAGTCATCGTCATGAACTCCATTTGTCAATCTTAAAAAGTCTGACTTTCTGGAAACTATGCCTGTCCTAGTTACTTCCCCAATTTCTGGGGCAAAATACTTAATACCCATATTTTAAAGGGGAAAAGGTTATTTTTTGGCTTGTCAGTCTATAGGCAGCTGGCTTCCAGACAGGAAGTCATGGCGGAGGGGAATGGCAGAGGAGAACTGATCACGGCATGACAGACTGGAGGCACAGAGAATGCAGGTAGGAGCTATTGAGCTAAACCCTTCCAAGCCACACCTCCAGTGAAATATTTCTTCTGCCAGACCCTATCTCCTAACAACTGGAAATAAGCCCCAAGAATTCAGTCAACTTCTAAAAGCCCTACATAGGAGTGGATGAAGGTACTGGTGATCTCTAGATATAAACCATAACCACTCTTTTTTTGAAGGATTCCCTTCTCCTTTCTCATAATATGGTGTCACTCCCACTTCTTTGATCATTCTTTGTCTTTATCCCCCTTTTCTCTATCTGATTCCTATGTATCAGAAATTCTCAAGGATCAAAGCTGTCTGTCTCTCTTAATAGCTCTCTGTGCCTTTTACAGTGGCCACAAAATCACCCTCAGGGCTGTAGCTTCTCCAAATGGATCATCCTTAGCCCAGATAGCTTGTGAACTCCAGATTTAGACATTCAGATCATGTTGTGATTCCTCCCTACAAAGACACCTGAAAATCAACCTATGAAAAGGCAGATACGATCTTCCTCACCAAAAATCTTCCTGTTGAGCAGGGAGCAGGTCTCCACTTCTCTAAGCGACATTTCCAGCTACCTTCTTGCCTGTGCTGCATCCCTTGCTAATTAATGTTTATGCTTCCTTCTTAGCTTAGCTTCAGCTATCGTGTTCAGAGAGAAGTCTTTCTTGACTCACCAACCCCAGTGGCTAAAATTCATACTTCTTCTTATTTTCTGTTTCCTAAATGTACTTTTCAATTGCATGTATTTGTTTTATTTATTACCTCTTCTCCATTTAGACTATAAGTTCTATAAATGTAGGGCTTCTCATCTACTCTACTACCAGGTGCTAGGTGCATAGATGTAGAAGGGGATGAGGGAAAGAGGAAGGACTATTTTTGAGATAGGTCAGCATAGAAGATGAACTTTTTGAGATAAGTTTTTAAGTTTAGAACACTTTTAGATTTACATAATTATTGTGAAGATGGCAAAGAGAATTCTGTATACCTTGCACAGTTTTCTCTTTTATGAACATCTTGCATTAATGTTTGGTATATTTAGCTCAACCGATAGACCAATACTGATACACTTTTGTTAACTGAAGTGCATACTTTTTCCTAAAAATCCTTGGTTCTATGGTCTCATCAAGGACACAGTTTTACTTTTAGCATTCATGCATCTTTAGATTCATAGTGGTCATCACTCTTTCTTAAACTGTCCTACTTTTTCCTTTGGTTGGCAGTTTTAAGGATTATTGGTTAAGTATTTTATAGATTTCCCCTCAATTTAGATTTGTCTGACACTTTCTTAATGTGTAGACAGGATTAATGTGATTTTTCATGGAGGAAGATTACAGATGTAAAACGTCATTCTCATCATAACCTATCAAGGTTACACATATTACGCACTGTTTATGTTAATCTTTATTCCCTGTCTCGAGAGAGTGTTTGTCAAAGTTCTTCACTGTGAAGTTACAATTTCCCTCTTCCTTCACTTTAACATACTGTACATACTTTGGTTTGGGAGTGCAATTTGTTCTGGAAACATACTTGTAATCCAAAGTCCTTATATATCAGAGGGAATTTATCCATAAGAAATAATGGAAACTAAGATGATTCATTTCACTAGCCAAAAATATTCATACAGAATAAATACAATACTGTAATATAGCACAAAATAATAAAGAAAGTTCAAAATATAAAGAAAAGTAAGTACATTATCTTGCACTTACTTTAAACCTTTATGGCTGGTTATTTTATAAATGACATTCATAATCACTAAGAGAATCACTGCTATCTGTTGGAATCTTTTTATTTTTACAAAACTTCTTTAACAAGGAACCTATTCAGTGAAACTTGATTTTTCTCTCTTTTTGAGGATTTCATGAAACTGTGACATTGTGTTTTCATTAAACAGTCATCACCACACTGCTACAGCCTTACTCAGATGGTACTTTTCTGAATGGTTTGCACTGTTTCTAAAATTTTGAATATCTTCCTAATATCATTTGTAGTGAGGGATTCCTCTGCCTTTTTTCCTCCTCCTGCGCAAATGAGATCTCCCCCATCACCTCTTGCTGTTGGGAGACAATTACTGCAATCTTGCAGTGAGAAAGAGACGAACTCATGGCTCTTTTGTGGTCATGTAATATTCACCATCACTTATTACTTGTATTGCAAGACATCATTTCTTATCAAGCTAAAATTTATTAGAAATATTTGCTTGTCTTTTGAAGTACTTACAGAACAAATTAGTCCAAGGTTTTACTGTACTGTACTGTACTGTGCTGTACTGTACTGTAAGAAGAGGACATGAGGTTGAGGGCCTTATGGTCAGAGTAATACCTCCATAAGAGGGGGTGCTAAAATACTTATTTCTTCTCTCTGCCTTTGAGGACACAGAGAGAGGGAATCTGTCTGCAAGTCAGGAATAGAGTCCTCAATGGTGGACCAAGCTGATTGGCACCTCAACATTGGACTTCAATCTTTCAGAACTCTAGGGAAATCTGTTGTTTGCAGCACTTGACCTATGGCATTTGTTATTGCAGCCCAAGCTGATTAACACACTATTTTATTTTCTTATACAAATTTTTCCATATTTGGTCTTTATGAGATCTTTAAGTAGTCTTTTAGACTACTAACTCTGTGTAACAGATTCTCATCATTTTGAATTTTTGAAAATAATCTTACACATTTTGTGTCTCAATCCAAGAGCAGGCATCTTTCCAAGGAGCTTGATTTTTTTTCATTGTAGAAGGTACTAAAACCATTTTGTGCTCAGTGTGGTCACTGCTATCATGGTATCATCATTTCTAGGCCCTCTCAGCTAACAGAGTAAGGAGATATATAGTATACTAATGTGAGGATTTATCCATAACTGTATCTAATCTCTATAAAATTTCTATATGGCCATCTATGTCAGTATTAACCTAACATATGTTCATAGTATTGTCTCCAAGTCTAAAACCCCTATTCCTGTAATTTTCTCTGACAGGAAAAAGTTGGTTTCTGTAATTATTTGCTAAATTGTTGAATTCCAGAGTATCAGAATTGCCAACATTTACCCCATAGGAAATAATTTTATTGCCTAGGTTATAGTCCTCATGTATATTTCTTTTTAGATTTCGTATTACTGATATGTGAAAAGCTTCACACATTTGTGAGTCATCCCTGTGTAAGGGCCATGCTAATCTTCTCTGCAGAGCTCAGTTTTAGTGGCAGTGACCATGAAATGAGCATGATAAAATTTTAATAAAGATGAAAATATTGCAGCTGTGAAAAAGGAAGTATTTATTTGTATACAAAGCCTTTAAACATTTTACCTCGTGTATTTTCTTCATTTAAAGCATTTTTCCACAAAGTTGTATAAATCTTATTATTGAATTACATAAGAATTATTGAAATGTTCATATTTTAGAATGTTCTGAAAAACAACCAGGTCCAACATTTTTCTTATTTACCTCATTTAGTGAGCAAGTAAAAATCACTGGCAATTAGAAATTTGTTTATATATTGATGAGAGTGTACTAATGAAATGTAGAAGTCTAAGCAGTTTGTTTTTTTTCTTAATTATGTTAACCTTCAACCTTCATTTTTCTCCTACCTAGGTTTCACTATCAACTTGTAAACGTATACCTCTTCAAATCAGACATAATGTTTGTGCAAATTTTAATCTGTACTTTTCTCAAAAGCAGCTGGTTTATTACTTTACTTGTTAGTTAATTAAAATACTCATAATGAAAATGTATAGATGTAGCTCTGCGTTGCCCTTGGCTATACTTTAAAAACTTTTAAAAATGAATGTATAACAACAGTGATTATAATTTTTTACACACTTAATTGTGGATATTGTAATCTTTTCTGGAAAGCCCCTTATTTTTGTTAAATATTACATAAGATATACTCTATATAAAGATATTTCATATGGACAAATCATCCAGCACATTTTAAGAATTTTATTTTTTTTGTTTTGGAAATGGAGAACCTATTTTAAATTCTCTTTGTGTATATTTTTATGTTTGTCATTTAGCTTTTATCTTAAGTGAAGTATTGCTATCCATAACTCTTTATTTCCCCAATAAGCTTGGGTTTACCTTAAATGAGTCAACTGGAAATTATTATAAGACAAGGAATTATCTTATAATTTTTTTCTGGACAATAATCACATACTCTAATCATATGATATATTTGTATGTAATGGTTAAATATGACTTTAGCCATATTCCCCAAAGGTTGTTTTTCAGGGGGAGATGAAAAACACATGAGTAAATTTTTAAAAAATAAAATCTTTATTTGTTTGTTAGGACTGCCATAATAAAATATCACAATCTGAATGGCTTGAAATGGATTTATGTCTTACAGTTCTGGTCTTACAAGAAGGCCAAGGTCAGCATGTCAGCAGAGCTGGTCTCCTGCAAGGCCTCTGTGTTTGCCTTGCAGACATTCACTGTCTTGCTACCTCTCTGCACCATTACCTCTGGATGTCAGCACTCCTGATGTCTTTTCCTTTTTATTAGTTTACTATCATATTGAGTCAGAGACCACCCTACCAGAATCATTTTAACTTAATTCTGTAAAGACTGTTTCTCTAAATATGGTTGCATTCTGAGGTATTGGGGTTGAGTATGATTTTACAGGGAGGGAATGAACTTCAAATAATCACAGACAATATTGTAATGCCTGGTGTAATTTAGATAGTGTTTTCTGTTAGTCATTGCTTATAGAAGTAATTATGAAGCTCTTTTACCATTTATTGAAGTTTTATCACAGAAGCAGCATGATAGTTAGCCAATGTGTTATCTCTTATTTACTATTCTTACTGTCTTCTGCAGAAATAACCTTTAATTCTTTTCAGGGATGTGTCTACAACTTTGAGAATTTAATTGAAAACTAATTTTAAAGGAGTTAATTTTATTTTGATAAACTATCTCAAAGCATAGTGGCTTAACCATATATATATATATTTTTAATATATTATATGCTGGTAAATTGGGCTGGTTCCATCTGTGGCCAATCATAGGGTCAGCTGGGCTCACTTCTGTGTGTGTCCACTTGGTTGTCAGTGGCATCCCACACAGCTGGTGGTTGGCTGGCTGTGGGCAGTGTCAGTGCTGGCTACTGGCCACAGCTGTTTGTTGTCCAGCAGGTGAGCCTCCATGTAATCACAAGGAAGTGTTCACAAGGACTTCAAGAGCAGGAAGAGAGGACCAAGTTTCGTTAGCAAGTACTTTTCAAGTGTTTCTTGTACCACTTTTGCTGATGCCTCATTGGTCAAAAGAAGTCCTATGGCCAGATTCCAATTTAAAGAACCTGCAAAGCCACATTGGAAAGGAATATGACTGGGAGAAGGGAGGACTGGGCACCCTCTAGTGAGTAAAAGGAGGAGCTGTAAAGATGATAGAATTAAAAAATCCTCTATTTTTACAGGTACTTTCCCCCACATTCAAAAATTGTCTTTTTAATAAAAAAGTAATTGAAATTTGTTCTCTAGTAAAGTGTAGCTGTTGGCTGGCTGTTGGGAATGAAAGGAATAGGAAATGGAAAAGAGTTGAGACACTATGGGTAGACCACTCACATCATCTACTTTCTGAACTTTGAAAAGAAGAACATCTTTGAGCTCTTAGGACATGAGAAGATGAGAAATTAGGCTAGAGACAATCAAAGGTATTTTTGTCTACTGAAGATGTTATTTCTTAAGACATTTTTATTTTTTAAATTATTTATTTTAGCCCTGAATATCATACATTTCCATTTGTGTATCTATTTGTTTATTATTTTAAAGAGAAAAAACAATAAAAAAGATAAAAAGTTTCAAAGCAAGATAATAGGAGAGTAACAATGGTTAATAAATTGCGTATTGTTATGTTCAAAGCAGTTGCTCAGAGCCGGGGACATGGCTCAGTGGCACAATGCCTGTCTGGCAAGCATAGGTCTTGAGTTGATTCTCAGTACCAAACAAGCAAGCAAACAGAGAGAGAGAGAGAGAGAGAGAGAGAGAGAGAGAGAGAGAGAGAGAAAGAGAGAGAGAGAGAGACAAAGAGAGGCACTCAGCTTCCCACAGTAAGCTCCCCTTCTTTTTTCCTCCCTCCTTCTTGTTTGTTTCCCTTGCCTGTTGGATTCCTTCCGTTGGGTTCATGGAGTTGTAGCCATTATGTATCTCTTTCTGGAAAATTCTTCAAAACATTTTGGAATGCTGGTTTGGTGGCCATAAATTTCCTCAGATGTTCTTTGTCACAGATGTATCTTATTTCTCCATCAGTTTTGAAAGTTTTTTTTTTTATTTAAGAGGAAAAAGAGAAAAACACAAAACAAAACAAAGCAGTGTAAGGTTACACATAATACAGAACTACAAAAAAAAATAACAGTAAGAAATCACCTGTTAATAGATTACATATTATCATCTTGGAAATAGTTGCTCAAATCACAGTATCAAAGAATACAAAGTAGACATTCAAACAGAGAGACTGCAAACAGCTGTGTTCAATGATCGAAAAACATTAATATAGTCAGCTATTTAACACCCCTAAACACGCTTGCTGTTATATCCATTAGAGCTCTTTTTTTTTTCCTCCCTCTCTTTTTTACAACAAAATTTACACATTTTGGGTTTTATTACTCCTTAGTTCTTATTACTTTTGGGGGGGGGAGAATAAAGTCATATATGGCAAAACAAAGCTGTCAGTCAAAACCAAGGATAGACATAGCACATGATGTAGAACAGAGTACAAGGTTATTAACAATGGTTATCAATGTTGTCTCTTGTTTCCTTAAAAAGAATTGTCTATCTCATTAGATATTATAAAGTTGGACAAAACAATAGAGAACAAGACCAATAAAACTTAGGCATTGTAAACATTACAGGTCTTCCAAAGGAGACAATAGTCAAACCAGAATGGGCATCTTTGTGAATCTTGTTGCCTTCAAATTAGTTGCCTATACCCTCAGACTTGCTACTATCGCACAGAATGGAACAGAGTCTAATCAGTCAAAACAAGATCGTGGGCGTATTACAGGACTTCAAAACAAGTTAATAGGAAATCGAAAAGAGTTACTATTATATATCCTAATTTTTTAAATTTTTCCCTTAATTAAAATAAACATAAGAAATAACTAAATAATTTTTTTAAAGAATAGTAGTTACCATAGTGTCTGTCTTTTTCCTTGAAATATTTGGATAAAGCTTCATATACTATAGCTTCAAATATTTCCATATCAAGAAGCCCAGAATAAAGCCTTTCTAATTAATAAGTGAAAATTTTATAAGGCTTCAAGGCCACATAATGGGGAATCATGATTACCACATATTTTTATATATTTGAATCATTACTTACATTAGGGAAACTATTCGGTATTCATACATGCGAGATTGATTTATTTCACTTATGAGTATGGTCTCAAGCTGCGCCCATTTATTGATAAATATCTCAATGTGATCCTTCTTTATAGCTGAATAATACTCCATTGTATAGAAATACCACAACTTTTTTATCCATTCCTCAGTTGATGGACACTTGGGTTGTTTCCAAGATCTGGCGATTACAAATTGTGCTGCTATAAACATAGGTGCACATATATCCCTGTGGTATGATGCTTTCAGTTCTTCTGGGAATATGCCTAGAAGTGGAATAGCTGGAATAAATGGGATTTCCAATCCCAACTTTTTGAGAAACCTCCAGACAGACCTCCTGTAAGGCTGTACCAGTCTACACTCCCACCAACAGTGCAGGAGAGTTCCTTTTTCCCCACAGCCTCTCCAGCATTTGTTGTTGTTGGTTTTCTTGATCCTGGCCATTCTTTCAGGCGTGAGATGGTATCTCAGTGTGGTTTTAATTTGCATTTCTCTAATGACCAATGATGATGAGCATTTTTTCATGTATTTATTTGCCATTTGCATTTCTTCATCTGAGAATTGCGTATTCATCTCAGATGCCCATTTTTGGATTGGATCTTTGAATTTTGGAGGTCTGAATTTTTTTAATTCTTTATATGTTTTAGACAAGAGGCCCTTGTCTGAGAGAAAGTTCACTAAAATCTTTTCCCAGTTTGTGGGTTTTCTTTTCACTATGCTGGAGATTTCTTTTGACATGCAGAAACTTTTTAATAAGAAGTGGTCCCAGTTATTGATTCTGGGAAGTATTTCCCGTGCGGTTTGAGTCCTGTTCATGAATTCTCTACCTACTCCTATGTCTCCAAGGTTTCTACCCAATTTGTCTTCCAATAGATTTAGTGTTTCTGTTTT